CCTTAAATGCTTTTTTCGGCAATGTGGTGACGTGTCATTTTGCCGCGGGATAAGGGCAAATGGAGAAGAAAGCGGGGGCCATGATTTGTTTGTTTTTATTTTTTAACAATTGAATGTACTGCAGTTCAATCAAAAAATCTCATATTCAAGACCTTAGAAAAATCTCATATTATAAGCTAATTAATAGGTAGTATTTAGCGATATAAAACAACTGAATCACAATTAATTATAATTTTAACATAAAATACCATATCGTATCAATACTTTTTGTTGTTGTTATATCTGGCTATATCGTATCAATACTTGCTTTTTAATTTATTTTAGAGATAATAATTGCCCTCTTGTGCCATTTTGCCTTTAATCTATTGTTGTTGTTCCATTCATTTTATTTTAATTATTACGAGGTTGGTGTTCACCTTTCAGCAGAGAATTTCAGTACATGTTTGTTTCTGTGCATATTTAGTAGATTGCAGCTTCAGTTTCCCTGTAAATACACTTTATAACTAAGCTTCTTTTTTTGTTCCCTGATAAGTGACTTCTGGCCAGTGTCCATTAAACCGTACCGTACCGGTGGTTGAACCACTTAATACCAATATCGGAGGCCAAACCGATATGCGGTATTTATCGGTATAACGGTTGAACTACGGTTAAACCACGGTTTTACCATAAAATATCTTACCGCTAACTTTCCCGGTACGATCTCCGGTACGGTTTCATGGACTTTGCTTCTGGCACATAATTAGGTCACGAAGACCAACATCGAAGTTTTCACTTGGTGGAAGAAAAATGGTAGATGCGATGGGATAAATTATAATATTATATGCATTGATTGATCGAACTCAAAGAAAATAACTTATATTAATCGATTGCGAAAAAAATAAATACAAGAAAAGATTTGGATAAATTCGCCTTTACATAGAAATTAGGTGGAGAGAGAGAGCGTGAAATCGTGTAACGGCTTTCTGACAATAATATTTTACGGTATGGCATGAACTATTCTAACATATACAAACTATACTACAATGTAGCTCTAGCATTCAACATCCTATATCGATTGGTCTTATATTTGATCTGGTTCATAAAGGGGATTATGATCCCCAATAACAACTCAACAAGCACGCCAAATAATTTAAACAGTCAATAAGCGAACTCTCAAAGACCCTAACATTTAAAGTCATATCGCGATGATTTCTTAGAGGAACGAGAGAAATAATTCAAGTAACTCAATCAAATAGAGTTTGTAGATATGATCAAGTTACTGTTTGTAAACTTTGTATTAACAGAAAGATTGATATTTTTTCCATAGCAATCAAACGAGTAGGTTGTACTGGTGGATTGCCACTAACTTTTTTTGTTTTTTGTTTTTTGGTATATGGTTGTGTGTTTGTTTGATTGTTTCATGACCAATTATGCAAAAGAAGTCCCAACTCCTAAGCATGCATATTGTGAATGAGGCATGCCGGGGATCACGATAACAGCAAATATCAAATCATCAGAGATCAAACCTGACCACAGCCTTCTGCATTCACGGTCGTAATCATATCCAACACCAGAAGGTTTTTCCAAAGCATGGGCCAGGCCGCGCGCACGGGGTTCGTCAGGTGGTAGAGAGGAGTAAGTGAAGATTGAATCAGACGGCAGATAGAGAGAGCAAATGACTGCTGCTAGCTGAAGGGTTTCACGTGATAAGATATTTGATCAGGTGAGGACAAATACACGCCGGATTAGGTCAATATGTTGGAAGAAAATACTTCACACTGGAGTTCTTTTTTCCTTTAACATTGGTGAAAGTTTGGCGAAAGAGTATACCGAATGCCTGTCTGCTCCGACGTAGTTAAAGACTTGAAAAATACTAAGTCCACGCCCAAGTCCCAAATACTATTATAATGGGGTGGTTTTGGATGAGAGGTTTTAATAACAAGAAATTTGAGTCCAAATTTCTCGTTTAAAAAAACAGGTTATTTAGTTGTAGGATTTTGAAGAAGTTCATTTTTGTCATTCTTCTTCCTTTCCTCCTCCGCTCCTCCTCCATCACCGGCGCTGCTGCACAACCTTATCCAAACCTAAAAAAACACAATATTTCAGACACTCATCTTCAGCCACAGCCACCAAATCTCAAACCCAAAGCCCACCAATCTAGAGCCAAATCACCACCGATTGGCGATTGGAGAGATTGCATATCACGGGAGAGATTGAAATCTCTTATGCTCGCAATCTCTCATCTTTTCAAACTCATAATTCAATTAAATCTGGCATGATGAGGGATTGTTTTAAAATCTCTTACAAATCACTCACTACAAACCTAGATCCAAATGACCCCATGATGTATTTTATCCATTTTGGATGGTTAATACTTGTTTTGTAAGTTAAACAAGTAATAAGTTGTAGTCATATTTCAGTCTAATATGGTATATTTTATCTTTATGTAACAAGTATTATTTATGGGTTTAAATTGAAATAATTGACTTCTTGTTATTTTTTCTTTGCGGCACATATTTGAATAGGCCGACCTTCCCTGACCTATGCTCCAAGTCAAGATACTCAATCTAGTCATGATGCAAATATGGATACTAAGGTCCATTCTTAGTTAGCTCTGCAACCTGAAGTTGTTATTATACACACCGACATATCATGTACTTTGAACTACCTGTCATTACAATTTTCCATAACAATCACAAACCGAGTTTATCTTTAGATTTGATAAACACTTTATCGTCGTAAAATGGAAATATTTGTTTTTTTTTTTGTTTCAAAATTTTCAAAACAAGGAATGCGAGTGAGGATGAATGTTGAACTTGTACCCGTAGTATCCAATCCTGCCCGACATGATCAAATCGAGCAAAACCAATGTTGATGAATTTCGTGTCGGGTTCTGGTTTTGCCCGCTTTTCAAATTGTCAGGGTTGATTAGGGTGCGGGTTTTGGCAAAGTCCTTAATCGCACCCAAAAAGCAAAACCACGTCATTTTGCATCTAGCCCTAATAATATGGATAGAGTATATATGTTATTAGCCTTTGAGGAATATAGTTGTAGGATTTAATATCTATGTCATATAGGGATGTGAGTGTTCACAGGAATTATTCGAGTTATAATTGCAGTTATACCCTTGAACCATGGGTGTCCATCCACTGCGGGTATATGTTGGGTTTAGTTGGATCTTTTTCTTCCAAAACACAAATGATATTTTACCAGGTTGAGTTTGAAGAAACCCGACTTATTATCATCCTATAACGTGTTGGATTCTGCTGCATAGTCTTTGGTTATACAGTACTAGATAACCCGGTTTACCATATTGGTTTGATGCGGTATGATGATGGTGCAATGTGCTACCATAGTGATATGGTCCAATAGTTGGTAGCATTCTACAAATTAGGATTTTACACATCATCCGCTCTCAAAAGCGTGTAATAAACACTACGGTAATATTGTATTTGTTAAAAAAATACTATAATAATGTTTTTCTTACGTACTAGAACAATCACCATTTCTTAATCACATCATAATTAAATAATTAATAGTATCATCCACGTTACAATCAATGACGTGTTTGGGCAATGTTGATAGGTTACAAGTGGTATTCATTTGCATGTGGACGCAACCTAAATCCATCCAATTGGTATTATATAACACCAAACATCTTAGTCTAATTAGAGAATTTGGTGTTGACGAGATCATCACTAGCTAGCTAGCAACATAGTAATTAACTAAAGCAAAGTGGAAAGTTTCAGATATTAGTTCACCGTTTCCTGATGTCAAAAGGCACCAAATGCCAAATTTTGGTCCATTTTCCCCCTTTCTTATCTGCCATGCATCGGTTCACACTTCACAAATACATGTGAATTCCACTTGATAATTACGTGTATTAGGTGGCAAGCCACCATCGTAATTCGTCATTTAGGGCGACGTAGGTGAAGACTGTATCCAACCCAGTGAACCATTTCAAGGCACAATATTATGGGCAAAAAAAAAAAAAAAGGTGCTACAAAATTAGGTATGTGGAAAATATCTGAGCAATACGTAAAAGGCAGGATGGAGGTGACTAGTGGAGGTTCATAGAGTTTATTGTGCTTTGGACTATGGTAGGAAATATGCATTATTTTTCCTCGCCTTAAACAATATCCATTGGCTTTAGGTAGCTGGTGTTCATTAGCCAGTCGAATTCGAAATCATACCAAGTTGGTATCAAGATTAGATGGAGAAAAATGTACATATGATATATGAGGATTAGACTCGACTAATCATGAATGCATTAAATTGATTTTGATTTGGTTGAGTTGATTCTTTATTTTCTTTATGAATCCAGTGTAAATCCAAAGTAAACAAGATTTTAAATTTGAAAATCAAAACCAAATCGAACTATCCAGCGTGTTCAATCCAAACATTAGTTTTGATTATGATTTTCGGCTACTTGTGGATTGAACTATTACCGACCTTAGTTAATAGTTATATGTGATCATCAAGGCCGGTCAATGAGGTGTGCCGAGAGACCCTCCAATATAAAGCCTCTGAATATTATGGGGGCCTTCACTTTAGGTCTGTTAGTTGATTTAATTCTACATTATATGATGATTTTGTGGTTAATGATTGATTATATATATAGGCATGTATACTCATCATTAACTTCCTATTCGTGTTCTGAAGTCTTATTTGTGTTATAAATGACACAAGAAATCCTTAATTGATTAACAATGATGCTTATGGAAAATGATTTTTCATATAATACAAAAATTACAGAGTTGATAGATAATTTGATTTCAAATTATTGTTTACACCTAAAAAATATGGCCATTTTCTTTTATTATACTTGAAAAATCAAATCACATTTCAATTCTAGAGCAGAGCCTCCATAATTCATTCGACCGCCCTCGATCAGATCAGATGGTATGTTTGCCTCTGCAATATATTTTTATTTCCTCGTTCTAAACATATAGTATGTTTGGCCTCTGCAATATATTTCCTCGTTCTAAACACGATGATGAGCAGAGAACATGTCAATGATAACATCCGTGGCATCAAAGCGAGGGCTCAAGTCAAAAATCCACCTACCTAATTGGACTCGACCTGGAAATGAAAATCCCAGTCATCATAACTTGTCTGCCATGTGTGTTGACGAAACAGAAACCATCAGCTCCCATATCTTATTCCAATTAGATTAGTGTATTAACTTGGGAGTTTCAGAAATACAATTGCCAACAGCTTGACATGAATGACAAACCTTTTACATCACAATAGAAGGTGGGTCTCCTTTAGGGAACAAATCAATGTCATGCTCGCCGACAGAAGGACATATGCTCTCTCTTCTTTCACCTTCAATGTGGGTCTGCATGCATTCTGCTCTGCACAATCCGTTAGGATGACAGTGAACACCATTGTCGGTTTATAAAGCAAAAGTACCACACTTTCGGCGAGCAACAACCAGCTCATATCAGCAGCAGCACTATCAGCACTCAGCAGGCTTCTCTGTGCAGTTTTACTCGAACAAAGAAGAGCTCGTGGACCCCATTAATGCTAAACTCTGGAAAACAGTCATCTGTGATTGTCGACACTCGTACCTCGACCACCACCTGCCAGAAGCAAGCAGGAACTTGATGCTACCCATCTATGAGTATTCGACACTTGAATATGCTATTTCCAGAGCTAACACTTCATAGCAATGCTAGCCATCAGAACTTGATACCTGAGAACCACGAAGGACAAAATGTGCGAAGCACCACCCATCTGATTGTCTTGTTGAGTTCATTAACCAATGCACATCCTTCTCATGAGATCTTCAGTTGTAATTTCTCTTTTGTGCAGCTCTCAACATCTCCTTGAATCACAACGGTATCTGCTTCTGAAGCGTCACATTAGCTCCAGCAAGTTGAAATACCTTTACTCAGTTGCACAAGCATCCTCTGGATCATCTCCTTCACCATCTGTATAAACCCCGTCCTCGTCACTACTCAAATCGGAGACCAAATCACCCCCTTCATTCTTCCCATCAAACACATTAGAACTCTCACCTCTGAACTCATTTTCCGCATAGACTCTTCCAACTCGTTCCATATCATGCTCGTCTTCATCCCTCCTATAACTGACTAACTCCCTATCAACTCTAGCCTTCCTAGGGCTCATCAACACCAGGTCTCCCAACTTCCTCCTTGCCAAATACAAGTCATTCGGTTCCAGCAACTCCCCTCTTTTATAAGCCTCCCTAAGAAACACAGTATGAAGCTTCCCCTGATTCCCCCTAGTCGAAATATAGAATATCCCCTGGTGCTGAAGCAGGAACTCCTTCAACCTCTTGGGCAGATTCATCGCCATCCTGAAATGCGCGATCCTCTCCAAAGTAATCTTCTTTTCCACGGTCAACGACACCAATTCGTGTATCGTGGCCACCGCCCTCTTCTCCATCCTCTTCTGAGCCTCGATCGACCTCAGATCATAACCCGAGATATCCTCATAAGGGGACCAATAAGGAACCCTCTGCCACTTCCACACCGCAATTCTGTAATACTTGCCTATCTTGAACCCTGGTGGGAAATCAATGAGAAATGAGAATCTGGAATCCTCAGCATCCAAACCTCTGGTTCTGTATTCCCTCTCCCTAACCCTCTCTATCGCACAAACAGCTAACTTGGGATCCCTCTCCACAATCTCAATGTACTTGTTCCTAGTCTCTGTGGCATCAACCAATCGGAAATACTCAGGGTGCTTACGAACTACAGAGTATTCGAAATCATCGGGTAACCCGAATTCTGACCTGGCGACCCGGACGTGCTCCAATCGCAGGCGGCGGGTACCCGACATCATCAACAGCTTCCTCAATCGGACCACGGCGTCGGGGACTTGGGCGAGGAGGGCTTCCTTCTCTTCCCGGATCTGGAGGAGGGCCTTGCGGGTCAGGCGGCAGTAGAGGATCCGCTGGACGGGGTGCTCGTAGACTTCGAAGATGTGGGGGAATTTGAGGATGAACGCGCCGGCCTCGTACTGTTTGAACCCGAGGCGGCGGGAGAGGCCGTCGAGGCGGGAGACTGGGATGGTCTGGTTGTGATGGGGGAGAATCAAGGTCTGGAATTTGAGAACCCGCCGGGTTTTCTTCTGGACTTCCATGTAGTTGTCGTAGCCGTGGTCGCGGACTCGCACCTGCTTCCTGGGAATCGCGGTGGATTGGGACATTGATTTGGAGGGTGTGAAGATGTAAAGAGCGGGTTGGATAAATCGGAGAGGCAGTGATCGGGATTTCAGGAGGCTGAGAAGTGTGGGGATAGCCATTTCTTTCGCCGGCGGGGGGAAAAAAAAGAAAGGGTTTAGGGTTTTGGAGGGTAGGATTGTTCGGGGTCGGGCATCGCCGGCAAACGGAAGGGCTACAGTTGCTGTGTTGGAGAGTATCGGTTAAACTACCAAAATTAAGGTGCGAAATGTGAACTTTGGCAAAAGAAGGAAGTGAAAATGACCGGACCCAAACCTAGTAATCAAGTATGAGGGGAAGTAATGGGCCTTAACTTATTGGGCTTTGGGTTTTGATCAACTACCATATGCGTACATTTCCATTCGGAGTTTGCAATGGGCGGGTTGGGAGGGTTTTGATATCAGATTGACTCACATTTCCATTCGGTTACAAGTGAGTTGGTATAATTGTAATTCACTATCTATGCACATTCTTTTTTGAGTTCAGTTGATTGGGTGACGAATGAGTGCGGTTGGGTTGTTGGTTAAATTGCAAAACATTTCTCCAACTAGTTATATAACTAGAACTCAATCAAAGACAGGATACTCATAGTAGCTGTCAAGCAAGGACTAAATGAGTAAGCATTTGTCCATATGTGTAAGATTAGGATTATAGTTCTAAGAGGGCATAAGTGATCGAATTACGATGTATTAATGTAAGATATTTGTAGTTGATAGTGCTTTATGTTGGACTATCGAAGGTCCAAGTATTCCTACCGGATCATACAAAACTAGAGAACGATTAATCTATATCAGACCTATTTCTTTCAAATTATTCATTCCTTTCTTAGGTATCTTCCTTATACATACTAGAGAAATTTGACTAGCATTTATGATAAGTTCCTCACAAACTAACAAGCTTGTATAATTTTAGACACTTCACACTTTGTCACATGAGAATCTGTATAACATTTTTCTCATGTGAATTTGTTAGAGAAAACTTACGCATTTTGCGACTTCGAACAATTAATAGTTTATAATTTGCATTCCAATATCTAATGGAGATGAAATGGCATAGTAATCGATAATCATAGTCCAAAAATATTATTTATTCTTCACCTTTAGAAGTCAATGGTTAGTATGTAATGCAGTTAGAAAATATGATGACTAATCACTAAGGTGAGACATACGGTTTCTGTGCGTGCGAATTAGTTTGGGGGATTTTATCTTTTAATTAATTGATTTGCGGAAAAAATTCAATATAATCGAAATTATGAGCGTTATGAGGGGCAATTGAGTAATTTTACAACTCCTTTAAGGACCACTAATCAAATAATCAGATGGAAGGGTAAACTTGTTACTTTTTAATATTAGAAGGTTATGTATGTACAATATTTAATAAATGAGTACGTTTGTTAATTTAACGTAGTAAAAGAGTACACTACAAAATTCTATTAACCGAATTAAAAATAGTATATAATGAAATTGTTGAGATAGAAGGCCTATTTCACATATCTGTCACTACACAGTTGACAGTACACACCATGGGCTCACCTACGGCCTAATCAACCTACAATCACAAAGGCCCAAGGTTGGGTTCGCGCCATATCAGCAACAAAAAAGACAAAGCACACCACGTGGCCGAATCCCATTCCGCGCCGGATTACGAAAAGGATTCCGATAAATATTCCCTCTGTTTGGAGAAGAACCTGGAAAATTACACCCCGTTTTCACTCCCACTTTCCCTCTTTCTTCTCTCGCCACTCACCCGAGAGACCAAAACAGCTCCATTAAAGCCCGTCACCAACTCCTCAACCTTTCCGGATTCCCACCCCAACCAGAAAAGAGAAAACCCTAAAAAAAACGCGCTATTTCCCCTCTCTTTCCCAAATAAAGGAGAAGGAACATATCCCCCAGAGTACCGTCTGTCCTGAAAGCTAGAGAAGAAGCATGGCCCGCGGTGGTGATTTGGAAGGAGGCAGGGGGATCAAGAGCGGTGGCGGAGGAGGAAGAGGAAGCCCCGCCGGAAATGGGTACTCATCCACGTCGGCGCCGTATTTGATCGAAGAGACGGGGACCCAGTGGACGTCGTGGTTGGTCCCGATGTTCGTCGTTGCCAACATCGCCGTTTTCTTGGTCGCCATGTACATCAACGACTGCCCGAAGCAGTACCACTCGCGGGCGGAAGGTAGCTGCGTCGCCGGATTCCTTGGGAGATTCTCCTTCGAGCCAATTAGAGATAACCCACTCTTTGGCCCTTCCTCTGCCACGTACGTATGCCTAATTTTAGTTAAAAACTTTTCCTGAATCCCAATTTCTTGGGTTTCTTGCTTGTAGTAGCTGCTATTGGCTGCAGATTGAAGAATTAGTATTGAGATTATATTGCTGAAGAACAAGTTCTGTTTTAAGAGTAGAGAGAATCGATGCTTGAGGCATTTTGCTTTTGATTAAGTTTTTGGAGTCTAGGTGTGTGTAGAATCGATGCTTGAGTACAATTAGGATTACTGATGATGCCTCATTTGGTTTCTTATGGGGTGGGAATAGGCTGGAGAAGTTGGGAGCTCTACAATGGGGGAAAATTGTGGAGAAACGTGAAGGGTGGAGGCTTGTGACTTGTATGTGGCTACATGCCGGCATAATCCATCTCATTGCCAATATGCTGAGCTTGGTCGTCATCGGTGTTCGTCTAGAGCAGCAATTTGGATTTGGTAGTTGTCTAGTTTCGAATTTGTGCGTTACAGCTTGACTGTGTTTATAAGCTAATTCCTAGGTTTATGGTGGGTTGTGGTGCAGTTCGAGTCGGGATCATTTATCTGGTGTCAGGATTTGGAGGGAGTGTCCTTTCTTCACTATTTCTTAGAGCTGGTATTGCTGTGGGAGCATCGGGTGCTCTATTTGGCCTACTGGGAGCAATGCTGTCAGAACTCATCACCAATTGGACAATCTACACCAACAAGGTTACACAGTTCAAACTTCAAACCTTTCTTTGTGATGGAGCTGATGATCATATTCATAAAATGGTCTGCTTCCTAATTTTTATGATTGCGTCCATTGGTGAATGTAGGCTGCAGCGCTGGTTACTCTTTTTGTGATCATAGCAATCAACTTGGCCATTGGTATTCTGCCACACGTTGACAATTTCGCACACATTGGAGGGTTTCTTTCTGGTTTCCTACTTGGTTTCGTCTTGCTTCCTCGCCCACAGTTTGCCTGGTTGGAGCGTCGGAATCTGCCTGCTGGTGCTGGCTTCAAGTCCAAGTACAAGCCCTACCAATACGTCCTGTGGGTTGTTTCTCTGGCTCTCCTCATTGCAGGGTCAGTCCCATGTTTCCTCCTTGGTTGTTTCTGGAAATGCAGTTAATGATTTTTGTTGCGAGCATCGTATCAACCCTCGAGTATGGTTTTGTTTGGTTGCAGGTTCACTGTGGCGCTGGTAATGCTATTCCGGGGAGTGAATGGTCATGAATCGTGCCATTGGTGCAAGTATCTGAGCTGCATCCCGACATCGAAATGGAAATGTGATACCTTCTAAGTGATGGGCTGCTTACCACAAAGTTAGGAACTTTTTCTTAAGCCGTTATGGGAATATATTCATATGACGCAGGCCATAAGGGTAGCTTCCACAATTTTATTGTAATTTGTAAATGCAGAGCTTTAGCATAGGGAGTAGAACAATGGAATTTGTGGCATCTTCTTGCCTTCATACAGTATATAGATAGCTGTGATTCTACCTCTCTGTAAATCTGATTGTTCTGGGTTGTGTGGTTTGAAAATGAAAACAGGGAAAACCAATAAGAAAAACAACTGGGAAAAAAGTTGAATTTGGCTTCGCCCGGGTTCGAACCGGAGACCTTCAGTGTGTTAGACTGACGTGATAACCAACTACACCACGAAACCGTTTATGCACATTTCTGGTAAAAATATATATTTTATTTTTATGTAAAGCATGGTGGAAGTTCAGTCTCTCCAGCATTCCCCTGCTTCTGCCCGTGAACGAAACTACAGTACTTTTCCTTTGGCAGTACTTCCTCATTTTTCAAAGAACAGCATTATTGTACAAGAATCCTGTTCAATGAACAGGGATGGAGAGATTAAGAATTTGCTTTCCCGTGATGTATGTATGCATGAATGCCACTTCTTTTCTTCCAGCTGCTGCTTAACACTCTGCCTTTCCCTCGAGATCTGCCACCATGCCATGCCAACAACTGTAATTGGTCGAGTAGAGACAAACCCGTCACCACTAACTACTGTCACTCTTCATTCTTTTGGCAGTGCAGACAAACAAATCAGAGAAAAGTCATGTTACTGAGATTTTGGGTTCACTTCAAAACATTCTTTGCACTCTGCCCATCATTGGCGTTTTGTGGGTATCCAAAGTTCCAAACTTTTTGACTCCAAGTGTAAGCAAAATGGGAGCTGTTCCGTCCCAGACAAATCTCTTTCATTGCAATTCTATTTGTCACTCTTGTTTTTAATGCATTCTTAAGGTTCAGACAAAAGGGTCGTTCTCTGGCATTCATGAGGGGCTTTAACGGCTATTACCCACTCGTGAGCTCACAGTGCCACTGTAACAGTGCAAAAGGGGAAATTTCGTCTCCAACAAAATGGTTGATGAACGTTTTGTCACTATACAATTTCAATTTCAATTTAAATTTGCATTCTTCTATTCCCTTCAATCATGAACATGAAAAACAAAATTCCTCAGCACAGACATCATGTTAGTAATAGAAATGTGTGAATATATAAAGGATAGATAGATGATTGGATGGAAGTTTTTACATAGAACTACTACACTTTCTCTTTGAACACTACAGAACAGTTACAGATTTTCTGAGTTCACACAACAAGACTGTTAAAAAATGGACAAAGGTTACAAACTCTTGTAAGGACACATATGGGTGAGATCATGGTCAACAAATTTACAAACAGAAGGGCAAAGTTGCCACACTGCACTCTCACAAAACAAAAAACAAACAAACAAAAAGCTGCAAATTAACACCATGTAATTATGAATTATGATCTGAAACGGGTGCTTCCTATTCTGCTGAGTCTACCAGGACCCAGAAGATGATGGCCCTTGTTCCTACACTCCATATGCTGCTGCTGCTGCTGCTGACCAAACCCACATTCCGAAACGGTATCCCCAGAATCATAAACACCATCCTTCAACGATCTTTTGCTCCAACCATGTCTGTCAAACTCCACTTCCCTCTGCCTAGGGGCACTCTGTGATCTCAACCTCGCTATGGACGATTCGGTGTTGGCCATGTAGTTGGGGTGGCTTGTGTAGCCATTGAAGTAGCCCCACGAGGACTCGCTCCTCGCGGGCGTGAATGGACCACCCTTTCGGCCACTGCTTCCTGGCCTAGACGATGCATATGGGCTGTTGTTGTTCTCATTAGCCATAAGAACTGCTTCGTCTTTCGACGACAGTAGCACTCTTGCAGAGTTGGAAGGCCAGTTCATTGGTCTTGTTGTCGACGACTTTGTAGGGGAATCGAAGGGCCTGTGGCTTGTCCTGTGGGATTTCATGTTGTGTGGCTTCCATGTGTCCACTTCGAGTATCTTGTCCATCTTGTCATTATCACCAGAAGGTCGATTCTTCAACGGGGAGCGAACATGGTTGTTGTTGTTGTTCCGTAGACTCTCTTCCATCCATCGCTCTAGCCAATTCGAATTCGAAGAACCGAGTTTTCTCCCCTTCTCGAGATCAGTAACGTCCCCAATGTTTGAATTCGAACTGCATCTCTGCTTGCAACACATTCAAGTGTTAGGTAGGGAGGCTTTTACAGCTAAAATTTGCATTTACAGCTAAGATTGATCAGTGCAGCAACAAAAGGTTCTTTGAGAGAAGGGTCATTGATTGAATTACCTTGAGAACCGAGGGGCCATCAACTTTAGCACCAATACTATAAGGTTGATGCAAGTGGTCCTTCTGAGGGCTTCCAGCTGCCTGCAGGTGAGAAAGTAGTTACAAAAAAGCTGCTGTCATCCCAATTGCTGCATGCTAAAGGTCAATAAATTCTCCTTTCATACAAATTCTAACATTTCCCAGCAATGCTGCTTCTTCAGAAAATGTCACTTTCAGCCTATTATTTAGGTGAATAAGGGCAGGCCTAATGGCCTGTGGTCCTTTTCCTTCATAAATGGAACCCAAATTTATATCAAGTATCATAGATGCTCATGTCAAACCATTTGATTAATGATGCTAGGTCATAATAACAGCAATGGCTTACAGTATAGCTGAAGTTGGTGGGAGAATGGAACGGTTGTTCGGAGGAAAGCGATCGATTAGCTCGAGCTCTGGTCTGGACTCTCACTAGAGTCTGCATTCGCCTGAGCATATCAGCTGTTTGCTTCCTCACAATGTGGCCTCTCACCAACGCCTGCAGTTTGACCAGTGATTTCAGTGCTCTTAGAGCTCTCCTTGCCTGCCCAGAACCAAAAGGAAAAGGGAAACTGTGCATCAAATGTGAAGTCATGTGACACCAGCAACACAGCCCAATGCTGAGTTTGATTAAAGACATACAGTACCGAGGGAGGAGGCAAAGTTCATAACTTCAGAGTCAAGTCTTTGGTAATGGAGCCAAAAGAGGAGGAATATAATAAGCGTTTTGGACCAAACTAGTACGGAATATAATAATATTACAGAAACCCTATTCTCTTAATGGCAACAACCACCAGCAGAGGGTTCTCTCACGGGGAAATTATATCTCCATTGACAGTTTCAGGGAGTGGGGACAGAAGAAGAAAAGGACAGCAGAAAGAACACAAATTTTCTTAATAGCTCGCAAGATTCTTCCAGCAGCAGGGTAAAAAGATTTGGACAGCGCAGCAGTAGCAGAGACTGGAGAAAGGACGATTGTACAAGAAGAGACTCGCGCTCTTGTGACCCAAAGAAGAAGCGACGACTCTGACTGCCAAAGTGGGGTGAAAGGGAAGAGAAGCAGAGGGTAATGGGTTGAGAAAGAAAAGCTGTCAACTTTATTGCGTATGCTTATTCATTTCTCTTCTCTATTGCCATTTGGACTTTTATACGAATATTGAATGGTAAGGTTGACAATTGACATCGAAGGAGAGGCAGAGCCCCCTTCTCCGCAACTGGGTCTTCTATGCCGATGTCATAAGAAATCTGTGGCGAGATCTTCTTCCAATTGAACCCTAGGTGTCGGCGCCACATACTAGCCGCGGAATTGTTCTCTTGTTTGGGTTTAGGGTTTGGTTTGGACCACCAAAACCCAACAAAATAAACGAGCGAGAAGTTTCTTGGGTCGAGATCAAACCGAGTCTGTACAGTCAATTTCCCCACCCAGAAAAGAACACCAGGAAGCAAACAGAGAAGCGTGGGTCACCCAGCTTTGTACGTTGCTAATCAGCTCCCCGAAAGAGATTAGCTAAGCAGCTGGAAGTGAAAAGAATCAAAGCTTGGTTTAGTGAAAGCTCTGTTTTAACAACTCTATATACCTAATCTGACTTTGTCTAGACCTTCATAAGGAGACAAATTGCAGAGTGAAGTCACAGTTCCAGCGTTATCTCCACCAAATTAAAGAATAATAGCGATTTGGTGGTACGAATTTAAACGTATTATATATGATATTCCTACTGTTAGGGAGAAAAGTTGAAGCGGTAGTTGACTATGTAATTTTTCAATTTACAGGGCATCCCCTGTTTTTGACGAGAGGGAGGATTGACGACGACGGGCACTAAATTAGAGGCCTGTTGTAGGAAAAAGGTAAGATGGTGTCACCAACGTCGAAGTCTTGCGAAAAGTATTTGCCAATTTCGTCACAAAATTTCAAAAAAAGGCAGCTTTTTGACACAAAGGATAGAAAAGGACCCTTATCATGTTCGATCACTCAATTCCCATCCCCTGTTCGTATTTCCTTCCAAATTCAACTTTCTAGTAATCCCCATTCAGGAAAAACCTTCAATTCCTTGGACAATTCGGCAATCACCAAAGCCATTAACGAATTCAATCTATAATAATGGAGCTAATAAATGGATTAGATGAGATGAAGACTAACCAGATAGCTGCGGAATGCGGACTGTATCGTGACCGCAGCAACCGCCTCCGCGTACCGGCGGTGGCTCCCGGCGACCTGCGGCGAGGCCACACTTCTCCCTCCTCCGTTTCCGCCACTTGTCAGCCTGACAACCTCTGCAGCAGCCTGGGCCGCAGCCAGAGCAGCCTCTGCCACCGCGGCGGTGGCCGCGGCCACAGCGATGGCATGCTTGTTGGCGTCCAATCCGTCGTCGTATGAAGAGTCGTTGTTCTTCGAGGGCGGGAGAGGGCGTGGAGATCTACCAAAGCTCCACCTTTTGTTCTTCTCCTTGGAAGAAGTAGAGTTGCTCTGTTTCTTCGGTCCGAATATTCGCCGGAGAAAGCCCATTACTCATAGCTTGTTGTAACAGATAGGGAAGTTGGTTTGTTGGTAACTTGGGTATTCGAATTCGATTGGTGAAAGAGGTTCTAGTGAGAAGAAGAAAACAGAGTGAGAGAGAGCAGAGGAAGAAGAAGAAGAAGTGAGGTGGAGGAATGGCTTCTTTTGTAAGAGAGAAGAGAGAATTGAGGCATTGGTTTACGCAATGGGGTTTGTTTAGACGCGCCATGGAGAACGTTTGTTGTGCACGCGCTTTTCTGTTATTATGCGAGTTGTGACGAGGATGCTTAGCTGAGTAGTTGAGTGGGAACTGGGAAGTGGGCCAGTGATGGTTTCGTTGCCGCCAAATACTTCTATTTTCTCTTCTTTCCTTTTTCTCATTTTTTTTTGAAGTTTATGATGGAAATTAATTAGAAATTAACAAAACAAAAAAGGTTTATACAATGGAAATGTAAAATTGAAACGATTAGTTGATTAGTGACCCATATACGAGGAATTTTTTCTCTCTTTTGAATTTGAAGTTGGGTGGGAAGATAATAATTAGGGCAATAATTATGAGAGTGACAAGTGCTATACTATGCTAAGCTTGACGAAGACAATAGAATTGATCAAGTTAAGTTTTTACTTTCTTGATTTCTAATTCAAATTTAGTGAGTGTAAGTGGGGGAAAAGTAAGTGGAAAGATAAGGTGAATGAAGGATTGTTAGCAAGGTTTAGATTAGTGATTAGTTTTACCTTCATTATGACAAAAGTTTAGAAGTTTATTATGACATTCATCTACCAACTCTTATGGGTATATATATGATCAATAACAATACTGTGCCATAACACCTCCGACTCGGAAAGGAAAAATGCTCTCAACTGCTAACGGAGAAATTACAGCGCCGGCGCCCGTCTTTCTTCCGTCGGACCGGTCGCCGGACCCTGCACCTAATCCAACGACGGCGGACCTGACCCCTGGGATAGAGCAGGTGGCCGCGGTCACCAATTCCTCGAGTATGGTTATTGACGCTGCTCCTCTGTCTTTGTCTCCGCAGGTTACCGAGGCTATGGCGATGATGGAACAAGCAGATCAGGGAGCGAAGAAAGATCGGCCACAACCTTTTTCGTATGCAACGGCGGTGACAGGGGGGATGTCCTTGATCCCTTCTCCAGATCCAGCGCGCATTTGGACGCCGGTAGGAGAACACGACTTGGTGTCTGGTGAGCGCAATGGTGAACCGGCACTAACGGTGTCGGCTGAATTCAAGGCTAGGATTTGTGCACCGTGGCAAAAAGCTCTAGTTGTCCGGCTATTGGGGTTGCGGATCGGGTTCGTCAATCTCTGCAATCGCCTTAGAGGACTGTGGAGGCCAAGGGGAACATGGAGGTGAAGGATTTGGATCATGATTGTTTTTTGGTTAAGCTAGACAACGAGCATGACTATTATCGGGCTCTCACAGATGGCCCCTGGGTTATCTACGATCATTATTTGGTGGTTCAGCAGTGGTCCCCTCGCTTCAAGGCGTCCGATCCACTTCCCAAGACGATGATCGTCTGGGTGCAACTACCGGCCTTGAAAATTCACTTCTACCACAAAGAGGTCTTGAATATGCTGGGAAACCTCATCAGAAGAACCATTAAACTAGACTACCACTCTTATCCAGGAAAGAGCCAAATTTGCACGCCTAGCGGTTGAAGTCGACCTCTCAAAGCCTCTAGTGCCCCGGATTTGGTTGGACGACGAATGGTAGAAAGTGGAGTATGAGAACCTACCGGAAGTGTGTTTCAACTGTGGAAAAATTGGGCATGCTCGGAATGCTTGCCCGAAGCTACAACCAGAGGCAACTTTGGCATTGACGGCGATCGGAGAAAAGTCTCCGTTGCAACACACGGCAGCATCACCGGGAAACGTGTGCTCATCTCTGCCGGCGGACAGCAATCCCGGATTTGGGCCGTGGATGTTGGTGACGAGGAAGAGTCGGCGAAATTCCAGGGAAATCGGGCGAAAAGGGAAGACGAAGAGTGATTTGGAGAATCAAAATAAGGCAGCTACTAGGCAATCGGGGAAAGGTGGCATGCCCATGGAAGAAATTTCTCAGGATTCACCTACCCAGAAGATTCCCAACGGCCCATTACCCCATGTGGAGCCAACCCCAAAAAGGAAAGGCGCGAACGGCGGCAAAGGGAACATGGAGAACAGACGCGGCAAGGAGAAGGTGGAAAATGTGATTGCAGATAAGGGCAAGGGGGTCATTGGGTCGATGCCCACTTACCAAAAGGCTGACAGCTTTGGACCAGGGCCTGTTTCAAAAACTAACGAGGCCTCTACCTCAGACCAATCGGCGGCCCAACGGATATTGTCTCTAGCCGCCACAGGCCCAGGCTCACCAGTCTTGAGGAATCGGCAGCCCAACTCCCTTCACCACCCTCGGTCCGCACCGTCACGGGGGCAAATGGCACCGTAATGAAAATCGTGGAGACTCCCCCGATACAGAGCAGCACCGCCGACGGGAAAAGTCAGTCTTCTCCTTCGGTGGCCGCAAGAACCAAGCGGAGCAAGGGGAAGAAAGCTGCAGGGAAAAAGTCATCAGCTAAACTTAATACTATGAAACCTCTTCATATTTGGTCCCCAATGAAGGAGAAGAAACCAAAATCCAAGTCTCGCATTGCTACGCTGACTCTTCAGGAAATCAGTGCGTGGACGGAAGCCGCAAGAGGATCGACTGGGAACAAAGGGGAGAAGGGGAGAAGGTGATTCTTGTCTCTTCTTATTCTTCATCAATTTCCCATGACTTTTAACCTTAAAATCTTTGCTTGGAACGTTGGTGGCGCAGGTAGTAGAGCTTTTAAGCGAGCCCTGAAGTTGGCGATTCTCGAACATCGCCCAGATTTTGTTGTTCTACTCGAACCCCAAATCAGTGGCGACTCCGCCAACACGGTCTGCGACAAGCTGGGGTTCCCGAACTCGATGCGGGTAGAGGCGGAGGGGAGAAAGGGCGGCGTATGGCTGTTCTGGGATGAACAGGTCTTCTCTACGCAACTTTACTCAGCCTGCAGCCAACATATCTCCCTTCGTGTGTCTCGCGCCAATGAGTCACCCTGGTTTTTGACCGCCGTGTATGCTTCCCTCGGCCCAGCGAGCAAAAACTTTTGTGGAACAGTTTGATTGCTCAAAGCAAGTGTATCGATGCCCCATGGCTGCTCACTGGGGACTTCAATCCATTAGTTCCCCGGATGAGAGGTATGGGCTGCCGGTGAGGAACACCTTACGGCGTTGCGAGCTCTTCAATGATTGGATGAATATGGTCGAGCTTGTGGATCTTGGTTACTCGGGGCCAAAATTTACCTAGTCAAGGGGAGATGGTTACCAGACCTACAAAGCCAGCCGTCTTGACAGGAGCCTGTGCAATCTGAGGTGGAACTCGGCCTTCCCGACCACTTCGGTGCTGCACCTTCCCCGGCTACAGTCAGATCACAACCCGATTTTTACCTCGGTCGTGGTAAACCAGGGTCACCAGACGGGTTCGAGACCTTTCAAGTTCGAAGCATCTTGGTTCACAAACGAGGGTCTGCAGGGCCTGATTGCCGACTCATGGGATACGCTGTCTCCGCTGCAAGACGCGCTCTCCACCTTGGTCGGTAAGCTCGCGGAGTGGAACGTCAACATATTTGGGAGTGTCAACTTGAAGAAGAAGAGACTCATGGCTCGGCTAAAGGTAATTGAGGCAAGACTTGCCTGCAGTTTTGCTCCTGGTTTAGCAAAGCTTCATAGTAAACTGGAAGCAGAGCTGGATAAGGTCCTGGAACAAGAGGAACTGATTTGGTATCAGAGATCGCGTGATAAATGGGTGAAGTATGGAGAGCGCAACACGACATACTTCCACCAGCAGGTGAACATCAGGAGAAGGTTCAACAGGATCGAGGCTCTACAAGATGAAAATGGGAATTGGGTAACCGATCCTCATGAACTTGCCTCTCTGGTGTTTTATTTTTACACTAACATTTACCTGCAGGACAACTCCATCTATGAAGACAGGTTGCCCAAGAATGCTTTTCCCCGTTTGTCACGTTCAGACCATTCAACATCATGGATATCCATAGAGCCATCTTCGACATGAAACCATTTCAGGCTCCGGGGCCGGATGGATACCACGCGGCCTTCTATCAACAGTTCTGGAAAGTGGTGGGGAAGTCGCTCTCGGACATGGCTCTATCTTTCTTCACGGCAGGCTCCCTTCCGGATGCGGTTACCGAATCCACTCTAGTTCTTATCCCGAAAGTGGAGTCTCTAGAGAAAGCAAGCCAGCTCCAGCCTATCTCTCTCAACAATGTCTGCCTTATGACCAGTAGGCTAAAGCCTATCATGAAGAAGCTGGTTTCTCCCAGGCAGAGCAGTTTCATCCCTGGAAGGCAGAGGACCGACAATATCATTGTGGTGCAGGAGGTGCTACATTCTCTCAGAAAGAGGAAAGGTAAAAAGGGGGGCCTTGTTTTCAAGATTGACCTGGAGAAGGCCTACGACATGCTCAGGTGGGACTTCCTGCGTGATACCCTTAAGGAAGCTGGACTGCCGAGCTCCTGGATCAGCGACATCATGTACTGCGTGGAGCATAACAGGATGAGAATCAGATGGAATGGCAAGCTATCCCAGCCATTCACCCCTTCACGTGGAGTCAGACATGGAGACTCTCTCTCGCCCTATCTTTTTGTTTTATGCATGGAGAGATTGTCCCACAGAATTGACCAGGCGGTATCAGATGGACAGTGGATGCCTTTAAGGCTCACTAACTCCAGCCCGCCCTTGACTCATCTTTTCTTTGCATATGATCTTCTCCTTTTTGCAGAGGCAGGGAGGAAGCAAATCCAAGTGGTGAAGAACTGCCTGGCCGATTTCTGCTCTAGCTCGGGGCAGAGGGTGAACTACAACAAGTCCATTATGTTTGTATCTCCAAATGTACCCAGGCGCAGAGCTGAGGAGTTGAGTGCGCATGCAGGGATTCCGCTGAAAGCAGCTTTGGGGAGATATCTCGGGATACAGGCGATTCAAGAGCGGGTTACGAAGGGGAGATATCAGTCCCCCTTGCTTCGGATCCAGAAGAAGATGGCACCGTGGAAAGCCAAACGGCTCTCCTTTGCAGCTCGTCTTACCGTGGCAAAATCGGTTACTGCCTCCTTACTTGTTTACACCATGAATACAGAATTAATTCCTAGTGGTGTTTGTAGGAGCATTGACAAGATCAGCAGAGACTTTGTTTGGGGAGACGAGGAGAACCATTCTAAGCTGCATCTGGTCGCCTGGGATAGACTCACGCCACCCAAAGTACAAGGAGGCATAGGGCTCAGACCAACGAGACAAGCGAATCTTGCCATGCTCGCAAAAAGTGGGTGGCGGTTGATTCAAGAGAAGGAGACCTTGTGGGCCCAGCTCCTCACCTCGAAATACGGAGGGCGCCGGCAGGGACTCGAGTTACTGCAGAAAGTTCAGGGAAGTTCCTTTACTTGGAACAGCTTCTCTAAAGCTGCTGACTTGCTCAGGCAAGGCTGCGCGTGGAATATTAAGAATGGAAGAAAAACTAAATTTTGGTTGGATCCGTGGATTTTGCAGGTACCGTTGAAGGAGAAGGTGGGTGGTGTTATCCCGGAGGCTCTGGAGGAGGATGTGGTGGCGGACTTTGTCCATGAAGATGGCAGCTGGCGTACAGAGTTGTTCAGTGATCTCCTTCCACCTGAGATAAAAAATAAGATCCTAAGCACGGCTGTAGACAAGCTCTCGCGGGAAGATGACACCATCTTCTAGTCTGCTTCAACGGATGGGCGGTTCTCGTGCAAGTCCGCTTATGGGCTTCTCAGGGGCGAACCTCAACAAGGCAACGACGGGATATGGAAAGCCATCTGACAGCTTCCGGTACCAGAGCGGGTGAGAGGTTTCGTTTGGCTGGTCGTGCAAGGAAAGATCGCCTCCAACTCTCTCCGGTTTCACAGGAAGATAGCTACGTCGGCCTCTTGCCTTCGCTGTCCCGATAGGCCGGAAACGATCATTCACATCTTGAGGGATTGTGCCCCGGCGCTGTTCTTTTGGTCAAGACAGGTGGCCCAGCCTTGACAGAATGAGTTCTTCAGCAGCAGTCAGGAGGCCTGGCTAAGGAATAATCTCCTAAGTAAGGAGGTCTCTCTTTCAGGTATCAGCTGGCCAGCTTTCTTTAGCATCTCCATTTGGCTTTTATGGAATAATCGTACTACAGCCTCCTTCAAAGGAGTGAATGCAGCCTTGTCAGCACCGTCATTGCTGCACTCCATTTTAGCCAAATGCAAGATGTGGAATGAGTCATGGCAGGCTCCTGAGTTATTGCCGAGCCTAAGGAGACAGCAGGCGGAAATAGTAGCGACGGAGGTGGGTTGGAAGGCCCCACCACCAGGTTGGGTGCAGCTTAATACCGACGGCGCTTCGAACGGCAACCCGGGGCCGGCAGGGGCTGGAGGGCTGCTTCGTGATCATTAGGGCCTTTGGAGAGGAGGTTTTGTGGCTAATATCGGGGCAGCAACAGCTGCACTGGCGGAGCTTTGGGCCATTTTCTATGGGTTGGAGTTGTCTTGGAAGCTCGGGTTCCGGGCGATCAGGATTGCCTCGGATTCTCAGTTGGCGATTCAACTCATTCAGAACCGAACTGATCCCATTCACCCTTACGCGACACTGTTGGGCCTCATTCGCAGAAAGATGAGTCAGGATTGGTTGGTCAATCTAACTCATACATATCGGGAAGGGAATAGAGCCGCGAACTGGCTTTCGAAGCACAGTCTCGTCTATCCCTACGGTATGCATGAGTTGGCGGATCCACCGTCCGGCATCGGCTTCTTACTTCAGGAGGATAGCATGGGTATTACCTTTGAGCGCCAGGTTGTGGCGAACTCTTCTTCCTCTCTCTGATCCCCCTGTTATTTTCTGGTTCTTGGCCTTGAGTGCCTCCTTGCAATGCAAAAAATATATATATATATATATATATATATATATATATATATATATATATGATCAAAATCGATAGGTAAGTGAGCTAGTCACAATATAAATAACATAGAAAGACTAATAAAATTTTAAATACGAACATATGTTTGAAAAATCAGATGAATTAGTGTGTTAGACTGCTTCCACAACTTCCTATATCAAGGAGTAGTAGGGACTAGTGGTTTTTGGTGTTTTAGACAATTTACTAGAGTTGAAATATGGGTTAAGTGATGTGCCATGATCTTTATCTTGCTTGTAATCTAATAACTTTTTTTTTTGTGTGTGGCAATATATGGTTGGTAATTTTGCTAAAATTAGTTGGTAATCAAGTTGGGTGCAAAACCCAAATATAACATAAATGGGTAGATTTTGATGGGTTCACACCTATATTCATTTTAGGTTGGTTTTAACTTATGCATTTGGATTTTGACCCATATCCATTTCAAAACTACAGGTTGGAACTCA